GGAAACAAGGTTCTGAGACACGAAATGGCTCTGCCTAGGTGAATAAGGGGCACAGCCCGATCCGCTGCCAGGCAGCTCGGCGTCAAAGCCCATGAGAAAAGCCTGGACTTGCCTGGCTGAAAAAGACCTGAGTGCAGAAGACATGACAAACAGCAGCCTCTGTGCCAACTAGGGCCCCCCACATAGTGTTTCTAACATGTCTGAATTAGATGCCAATATTTAACACTTGGGAGACTTACATCAAAGTTTCTGGTTTCTCTTGAAAGATCAGAGGATATGGGCACAGTGGAATCACATTTCTACATGGCAACTGAGGGAGATGGTTTATAAAAAATGGCTGCAATTATTTCACTCTCTGTATCTACACCCTTTGAATATGACTTTGAAGCTTCTCCCATCAAGAAGTGGGGAATACTTCTCCACCCCTTGAGTCTTGCACAGCATGCCAATGCCAAGCCGAGATCTCAAAAGGCAGAGCTGAGTCTGCCTGTATGTCCCAGATATATAAGAGAGCACAGCCAACATCAGCAAAGCTGACGCGCAGACACATGAGGGTGTTCAGCCAGGACTAGAAAAATCATTTACTGAGCCCAGCTAAACCACTAACATGCATAAGTGTGACCTAAATAAATGTTTGCTTTAAACATATTTGGGGGATGATTTATACTTTAAACCACTATATTTGGGTCTGTTTGTTATATAGCAGAAGCTACTTGATACAGCAACAATCAGCCGAGGCTGGGCTGCAGCTGCACTCTATACAGGGTCTCTTGGCTCTGGTTTGCCACAGTCTCCACTACTCCCTTTTGTCCCACATCTGGCATCTTGCTTTCCTCATTGCTCACTCCTGTAGAAATGTATTTAGTGACCCTTGCAAAAGCCTAAGTTTGTAAGTTCCATGAAAGGATCAAAGGAAGCAAAGGAGAAAATGAATGTAGGTTTTTTTGAAGGCTGGGATGGGTTACGACATGGGTACTTCAAAAGGAGGCTTCAGAGGGTAAAGGGGTAAGGATAAGATAAGGAAGAGAAGGAGGAGAGGTAGCAGGAGGCTCCACATGAGAAAATATAAACTTCAAAGCCCTAAACCTACACTGTCTTTCTCTTGGGTATAAAGGAAATGTCTAAGTAAGATGAAATAACAATAATAACTTCTGTTCCTCCTACTCTACTCTGCTTTCCAGAGGATGACCTTCATCTATCTTCATTTGGTGAGCCTGTCCTTGGGAAGATATAAGCCTTTTCAAAACAGAAAAGAAGCAGAACAATTCACAGGCAAGGAAATACAAATACCTCTTAAATATACAGAAAGATATCAAGGGACTTCCCCGGCAGTCCAGTGGTTATGACTCCACGCTTCCAATGCAGGGAACACGGGTTCAATCCCTGGTCAGGGAACTAGGATCCCACATGCTGTGGGGCAACTGAGCCTACGCGTCACAACTAGAAAGGTCGAGTGCCACAACGAGAGAGCCTGCGTGCCACAACTACAGAGCCCACGCACTCTGGAGCCCTCGCACCACAACTACAGAGCCCAGGTGCTCTGGAGCCCACCCGCCACAACTACAGAGAAGCCCACGCGCCGCGACGAAGAGCCCATGCACTGCAACAAAAGATCCGGCATGCCATAACTAAGACCCAACACAGCCAAAAAATAAATAAATATTAAAAAAAAGGATGATCAACTTTTTTTTTTAACATCTTTATTGGAATATAATTGCTTTACAATGGTGTTAGTTTCTGCTTTATAACAAAGTGAATCAGTTATACATATACATATGTTCCTATATCTCTTCCCTCTTGCGTCTCCTGGAGATAAATGCACAATGAAACATTACTGAGATGCCATTTTTCACCTATCAGTGGTAAATACTCTAAAGTTTAACAACACACTGCTGGTAACGCTGTGGAGAAACACCCTCATATGCTGCTCATGGGAATATCAATTGGTATAACCTTTACAGAGGGCAATTTTGCAATATTGTCAAAATTATCAATACATACTTTCTTTGACCTAGCAATTCCACATCTGGAAATTTAATTTACGGATACACTTGAACCTCAGTAAAATAACATACGTTCGTGAATAATCACTGTAGCACTGTCTGTAATATGAAAAGAATAGAAACAGACCAATGTCCATCAACAGAGCCCAGTTAAATAAACTGCAGAACAGCCACAGAGTAGAAGAATACGTGGCCATTCAGAGGATCATACATGTATATATTGAAATGGAAAGACCCCCAAGATATAATGTAAGTGAAAAAAAAAATTACAAACTTTCATTAAAAAGATGGGGAAAATAAGAGTATATATTTGTATTTGCTTGTATAGGCATACAGGAACTCTGCTAAGATCCATAAGTAATTTAAAAGTGGTTACCTTAACTTTGTGGGTAGGAGCAGTAATTGGGTGGATAAAAGGACAGGGTTGGAAGGTCTTTTTACTGTGTAAATTCAGATGTTTTAAAGCTTTTGAAACATGCAACTGTTACCCGTTCAAAATTTTAATTAAAAAAATTTTTTTTCTACATATCTCTACCTGGACCTCCCACTCAGTGGTGCCAGCTCTGGGCTGTGAGACCACCCAGAGCAGTTCTGATCCTTTTCCATGGGGCAAGACTCTAGCCATCTGTCAAGAGGTCCCCCCAGGTGATACAAACCTGTTTCCTGCCACTGCTGCTTACACCACATGGTTCCCATCATCTCACTGCCCTCCCTATGGGAGTCACGAGTGCTGTTCACCAAATGTTTCTGCTTTTCCACCTCTGAACACATGGCTGGATGGCAGGCCCTGGCCTCCTGGTAGCTGGACGAAGCCATGTGATTAGTTCTGGCCCATGAATTTTGAGAAGCAACGAATATCACTTCTGGACTAACAGCATTTAGTTACCAGTGTTAGAACCCCAGAGCACGTTTTTCCTTTGCCAAGTTACTGGCAATATTCCAGACAGCAGTTGCTGTCAGCTTGAGTCTCAACACGAAGAGCCCCAAGTTAACCTGCAGTGGAGCATAAGGAAGGTAGAAACCTTGCTGGTTGAAGCCACTGAAAGAGTTGGGAGTTGTTTGTCTCTGCAGCATAGCCTAGCCTAGTCTGACTGGGACACTCCTGAAGCAGTGTGAGCAGCACCAAGCAGGGGTGAGACTTTAACAGCCTCTGACCTTGGGGTCCATGAGGGTCATTATACTCACAGCACTGCCTCAATGGTGTCCTGGATCTCCCGCTGCAGCTGTGGCTCCATCCGGTAGGCCTCCACCAGCAGCAAGGCCTGTTCATAGCTGGCACAGTACACTTTATAGACTTGCTCCAACTCCTCTTGGAATTCCAGGAATAAGTTGCCTGACAGTGAAAAGCAACAAGGAGTTCTCAAAAGCATGTCTGCATGTCCTCTTGCTTAGGACAGAGAGGTGGTGAGTGACACAGCTAAGCATTCCAGCTCTGGAGTGAGACTGCCAAGCTTAACCAGTGTTGTTGCCTTGGGCAAGTCACCTCATTTTCCTGAGCTTCTGTTTTTTTCATCTCACTTCCAACAGGCTGCTGTAGGATTAAGTAACAGAATGATGTAGAGCTCAGACTGGTACACTGCCTATATTTAATAAATGGTAGCTACAATTATAGCAATAACATTGATAATTCTCATATTTAGACAGTGCTTTATAGTTTACAAAACACACTCATGTTATATCTTTACAATTACTATGTGTGGCAAGTACAACTCCAAATGCTCTGTTTATAAAGAATCCCTACAGCACAGCATGGATAGTCACAAATGTGGGCTTTGGAGTCAGAGAGAAGTAAGTCCAGATCACCAGCCAACCCTTTCCCAGTAGCGTAATCTAGGGCGAGTATTTGACCCCTCTAACCCTCCATATTTTCACCTATAGACTGGAATAAAAATAGTGCTCACCTCCAAATGTTCATTGCGAGGATTAAATCAAATAACGCATGTAAAGCACCTGACACAAACTTCATTCAACAAAAATTTACCAACTGCTTATTTATTGACTATGTGCCAGGCACTCTTCTAAGTTCTGTGAACAAAACAATGACCCTGCCTCATGGGGCTGATATTATAGTGGGGAAGACAGACAATAAATAAATATATTACATATGCCAGGTAGTGATGAGTACCATAAATCTAAACAAAGCCAGATAAAGAGTTAGAGAGTGGTAGGAGGTCTATTTAGGAAAGACCTTCATAAAGACATGGATATTTATCAGAGACCAAAAGAACCCAGCCCTGCAGAAATAGACACAGATGTAGAGAACAAATGTGTGGACACCAAGGGGGGAAAGTGGTGGGGGGGTGGGGGGGGTGGTGGGATGAATTGGGAGGTTGGGATTGATGTATACACAGTAATATGTATAAAATAGATAACTAATAAGAACCTGCTGTATAAAAAATAAATAAAATAAAATGCAAAAGTTAAAAAAAAAAAAAACCCACCCCTAGGAATGTCTGGGGGAAGAGCAGCACCAGGCTTAGGGAAGGACAAATGCAAAGACCTGAAGGCAAGTGAACGCTTGACAGGTGGGTGACACAAGAAGGCAGTGTGGCTGAAACACAATGAACAAGGGCACAAAGTAGAGAAAATAAACAGGAAACTGAAGCCAGATCATGTAGGGCCTTAAAGTCAGTAAGTAAGGTGTAGTAAGGTGTTTGGATTTTATTCTTATGGTGGCAGAAAGCAAATGGAGGGTTTTGAGCAGGGGTGACATGATCTGATTTCTGTTTGAAAAGGATCATTCCCATGCTCAATTTCAGCAGCACATACATTAAAGGTAGAATAACACAGGACAGATTAGCATGGCCCCTGCACATGAATGACATGCAAATTTGTGAAGTGTTCTATATTTTAAAATCAGAAACTTATGAGAGTGATTATTTTTAAGGGGAGATAGAACGGGGTGGAAAGAACAGGGAATGGGTCAGGGTAGTAGGGATGAGAGGGGAGCAATGCTTCGCTGAATATACCTTTCTATATAGCTCCGATCTTGGAACCATGGTAATGTTTCACATACTCCCAAAATAAATATATAATTAACACCAACCAGGATGTGGAGGGGGAACCCCAAATAGAATACCAACAATAAGGAATGAACCTAATTCTATTACAAATGAATAACATAACCACACTGAAGGGTGTAGGAAGAAATTAACGTAAGTAACTATTTTTCACAAAGGCACAGGTTAGTAATGCTGATTATAACATAATAAAAAAATATTTTATGTGTCTACTAACTTTGAACAAATAAGTAAATACACTGAAGACAACGGCAGCCATTTTTACCTGTCACAGAAAGATGCTACAAATAAGAAAAGGTGAAAGACTAGAAAGAACCCTGAGGTGCTGGACTGGAACTGGAGGTTATCAGTAGGAACTCATGGTTTTAAATATTTTAAATATATAAATACAGATGGATAGATACAGAAAGAAATGTAGATATGTGTACATACATGTGTTGGTATATACACATATATTTCCTAACTCTGTCAGCTAAGAGGGGCTAGAAACAAAGACACCCCAGGAGCAATGAGCACACCTAGATCTTAGAACCTGGTGTCTAAATACCATTCTCCAAAGGTAGGAACCAGGGCTCCTAGGGAAAAGACTGATTCCAAGGATGAGGCAGGGAAAATACAAGATGAGCCTAGAACATCGTGTGGGGTCAGAAAGTAAGAAAGTGCTCACAAATTGTTGGAGACATACTGAAAGGACACAGGTGACAACTTGAAAGAGTTCCCTATGGCCAAAGCTGGTAAAATTTGAGCAAGAAAATGAATATTAATAGTACTGGATTCTGACTCATGGAATAAAGTAAATATCCATGAGTTTATACTTATATAAATAGTAGAATAAAGAAATGAATGGGTGAGGGACTTCCCTGGTGGCGCAGTCGTTAAGAATCTGCCTGCCAATGCAGGGGACACGTGTTAGATCCCTGGTCTGGGAAGATCCCACATGCCACGAAGCAACTAAGCCTGTGCACCGTAACTACTGAGCCTGTGCTCTAGAGCCCACATGCCACAACTACTGAAGCCCGAGCGTCTAGAGTCTGTGCTCCGCAACAAGAGAAAGCCACCGCAATAAGAAGGCCACACACCACAATGAAGAGTAGCCCCCACTCGCTGCAACTAGAGAAAGCCTGTGTGCAGCAACGAAGACCCAATGCAGCCAAAAATAAATAAATAAATAAATAAAATTTATTAAAAAAGAAATGAATGGGTGGGACGTCCCTGGTGGTCCAGGAGTTAAGAATCTACTTTCCAATGCAGGGGATGTGGGTTCAATCCTTGGTCGGGGAATTAAGATCCCACATGTTGCGGGGCAACTAAGCCCGTGTGCCACAACTAGAGAGCCTGTGTGCCACAACTAGAGAGAAGCCTGCTGCAACAAAGAGCCCACGCACCACAACAAAGACCCAGCATAGGAAAAAAAAAAAGCTGGCAAAATTTGAATAAGGTCTGTAGAGTTAATAGTATTGCACTGATGTTAATTTCCTCATTTTAATAATTGTACTATGGATACGTAAGATGTAAAAATTAGGGGAAGCTGGAAGAAGGGTATATAGGAGCTCTCTATTATTTTTGTAACTTTTCTATAAGTCTAAAATTATTTCAAGATAAAAAGTGTAAAAAGAACCTTGAAGACATCATGCTAAGTGAAATAAAACAGTTACAAAAATACATATACTATATGATTCCATTTATATGAGATACCTAGAGTAGTCAAATTCAGAGAGACAGAGGGTACAATAGTGGCCACCAGGGGCTGGTCATCAGTTTAGGATGAGGAAAAAGTTCTAGACATGAACAGTGGTGATGGTGGAACAACAATGTGACTGTACTTAATGTCACTAAACTATACACTTAAAAATGGTTAAAATGGTAAATTTTATATGTTATATATATTTTACTACAACAAAAAAGAAACTTTAAATAAAAGACTTTTTAAAACACTGCACGTGGACTTCACTGGTGGAGCAATGGTTAAGAATCCGCCTGCCAGTGCAGGGGACACGGGTTCGAGCCCTGGTCTGGGAAGACCCCACTTGCCACGGAGCAACGAAGCCCATGTGCCACTACTACTGAGCTGGCGCTCTAGAGCCCGCGAGCCACAACTACTGAGCCCGTGTGCCACAACTACCGAAGCCCACGTGCCAGGGGCCTGTGCTCCACAACAAGAGAAGCCACTGCAATGAGAAGCCTGAGCACCGCAACGAAGAGTAGCTCTCACTCGCCGCAACTAGAGAAAGCCTGCGTGCAGCAACAAAGACCCAACGCAGCCAAAAATAAATAAATGAATAAATAAATTTATTAAAAAAAAAAACCCAAAACCCTACATGCTAATGTTATAACTGCTATATTCATAATTGCCAAAGCCTGGAAGCAACCAATTTGTCCTTCAGTAGGTGAATGGATAAATAAACTGTACTATATCCATACAATGGAGTATGATTCAGTGATAAAAATGAAATGAGATATCAAGCCAGGAAAAGACACGGAGAAACCTTAAATGCATATTACTAGATGAAAGAAGCAACTCTGAAAAGGCTGCGTACTGTATGATTCCAGCAATATGACATTCTGGAAAAGGCAAAACTATGGAGACAGTAAAAACAGCAGTGGTTTCCAGGGGTTGGGGTTGGGAGAGGGATAAACAGGCAGAGCACAGAGGATTTTTAAAGAAGGGAAACTATGTATGAAACTGTAATGGTGGTGTCGTACATTATACATTATTCTAAACCCACAGAACTAAACAACACACAGAGTGAACCCAATGTACACTATGGACTTTAGTCAATAATAATATATCAATATTCATTTGTCAGTTATAATAAACGTACCACACTAAGGCAAGGTGTTAATAATAGGGGGAACTGTGTGGGGGGAGGGGTACATGGGAGCTTTCTGTACTTTCTACTTAATTTTCTTATTTTTACAGACTTAATTTTATTTATTTTTGGCTGCGTTGGGTCTTCATTGCTGCATGTGGGCTTTCTCTAGTTGTGGCGAGTGGGGGCTACTCTTTTTTTTTTTTTTTTTTTTTGCGGTATGCGGGCCTCTCACTGCTGCGGCCTCTCCCGCCGCGGAGCACAGGCTCCGGACGCGCAGGCTCAGCGGCCATGGCTCACGGGCCCAGCCTCTCCGCGGCATGTGGGATCCTCCCAGACTGGGGCACGAACCCGCATCCCCTGTATCGGCAGGCGGACCCTCAACCACTGCGCCACCAGGGAAGCCCGGGGCTACTCTTCATTGCGGTGTGCAGGCTTCTCATTGCAGTGGCTTCTCTTGTTGCGGAGCATGGGCTCTAGGCACACAGGCTTCAGCAGTTGTG